GGTACAAGGTGTGACATATTCATTAAAATTCCCCCCTAGGAAATAGTAAATCAAAATTAGTTATAAAAAAGGTTGAGCATGGACCACTGCAAAGGACACTGGAGAGAACTGGGGAAAAGAAACCAGTGAAAATGCTGGAAAAAGAAAGTTTTCCTATTAAATTGATAGGGAAAAAAGACTGAAACAAGACAGAAAAGAATTTAAAATGTTTTTCATTAAGAAGTAAGAACAAAGTCAAGATAGAGGGGATGAAAGTCTGGAAAATACCAAAACCAGATTTTTTTTTTCTGTACTATAAATTTTGTAGGGAATTAAGTTCTTATAAAGTGCTGTGAAATTAAAAATCAACCAGTAGTGTCTTAAGATGAACATGATGGGATGTGCTTGGGGGAAAGCAATGTTAGGTGATTCTGATTTGGCTTTTTCATTCCCTCAGCTTTATTAATTCATGTATTAATTTGCAGTGGTTTATCAGATGTCATTTTACAGTGTGTTTCAGTGAGATTTGAGAAAGAAATAAAACTGTGCTGTGAGTAGGGAGTTTTGAGTGCATCGTTCTGCAAACTGAAAATAAGCCCTGACTTAGCTCAGACAAGTTCTGACTGTTAACATCAGATTCTTCTAGAGAGAATATTGTATTCCTATATCTCCTTTAAATCTTTATTTTATGAAGAAGCTGTGGAGATGCTGAAGAGCTGCCCCAGTGGAAGTGGTTCAAGTTTTATTAGCGGCGTGTTCGGTGATTTATTGGCCCAAGCTCTGTTCTAGCTGACACAGCCTGTAATGACTCTGTTCCTCTGAGCAGAGTTTTCCCAGTGAGCTGTTTGTTTAAAGGACAAGGGAGAGGACAGGAATGTGTTGCTTTTCTCCTCTTGGCTGCTCTCTTTGTGTTCACATTGCCATCGCTGAAGATCCAGAATGAGCTTTTGCAAAACAATTCAAGGAAAGCACTGGAGCCTTGGGTTTCTTGGAGGAGCTCAAGACTGATGAAAACATCCAGAGTCAGAGGAGGGAATATTTGGGTGAATTTTCAAAGATGTGTAGAGGAGGTGATTTGGTTTATTATGGGCTTATGGATTTGAATCTCCAAAGGTAGAGATTTTTATCGTTACCATAAGGGTAGTAATGGAAATAAATAGAAAATTAGTGGAAAATAAATCAACCTTCTCTTTGCTCACTCACAAAGCAAACATTTGTGTAGCTCTTTGGAGAACTTCAGGTAATGTGGGATTCCTGTATTCTCAGTAAAAGGAAATATATAAAATCAGCACAGCAACAAGTAAGTTTAAAGCACTTTTGAATGCAAATAATCACAAGCTGTATCCTTATTGAAGTTATAATTTTATAATAACTTTATAAATAACTGCAGTTATTTTTTTAAAAAGGGAAGAAACTGAGAAATTGTAACACTGAAGAATTCACCTATGGGGCTGTAGATAACATTTACATCTTGGATGTGGGAAAACTGAGGCACAGGATGATGTGAGTCCCAGGGTGTCTTTAGCCAAGCCCCTGTTCAGAGGGATCCTGGAGCCCATTTCTTACTCCTCACTGTTCCTTAGGGCAGCACCAGTTGGAATTTTTGGGTGTAGGAACTTGATAAAATTAGCAGAAGAACTTGGACTTTGATTCTGATTTTCAATATGCAATTTTTCTTCCTTTTTTCCTAGCTTTGAAGTTACTCATTTCCTCTGCACAGAGGCAGAAGATAGCTGTGTGTACTCAAAAGTTATGAAGTAGTTCCAGTAGGTTTTCTCCTATATTTTTGAAGAATTCACCTATGGGGCTGTAGATAACATTTACATCTTGGATGTGGGAAGACTGAGGCACAGGATGTGAGTCCCAGGGTGTCCTTAGCCAAGCCCCTCTTCAGAGGGATCCTGGAGCCCATTTCTTACTCCTCACTGTTCCTTAGGGCAGCACCAGTTGGAATTTTTGGGTGTAGGAACTTGATAAAATTAGCAGAAGAACTTGGACTTTGATTCTGATTTTCAATACGCAATTTTTCTTCCTTTTTTCCTAGCTTTGAAGTTACTCATTTCCTCTGCACAGAGGCAGAAGATAGCTGTGTGTACTCAAAAGTTATGAAGTAGTTCCAGTAGGTTTTCTATATTTTTGTGAGTGATAGGCCCAGTTAAGCTGGTTCTAAAATCAGATATTTTTTAGTACTTGCTTGGTTTGCTGCACTTTTGGAAGGACTTTCCCTGAGTGATTCTTTCTTGGATGACCTCTCCATGCTGTCATTAAAACTTGGAAACTTTGGTCTTCTTGACAGTTAGTTCTGCATTCTCATTATGTTCATTCCTATTGTAAACACGCTGAAGTTGCTGCTGTTATTGCTTAGAATGGCTTTTTCCTCTGTTGTTTTGAAGTCTGGTAGAAATAGAAGTTAATCTTTAAGGGAGTGGGGCTGCTGAGGATTGGATGGCCCAGCTCGATGGGTCACGCCGTGTCTGTCTTTTCATTTGCCTCGTAGATGATGTTCTGCTGACTCCAGCTGTTTTTTTGGAAAGCAGAAAAACAATTTGCTTTTCCTTCCCATCAAGTATAACCCTTTGTTTATCCTTGTGCTGCTGCAAGTTTCCAAAATGCAAAGACTTGCAAAGAAAAGAAAGGGAGGAAATAGCTCCTTTTTTTTAACGCTGTTTTTCGTAGCGGAGGGTAGAGTTTAGGACCGAGCTGAATCGTTGACCTTTGTGGAGTTTATTCTTAGAATTGGTTGATTTGTGTGTGGAGTCTGATTGACTGAGCCCAGTTCATGGCACAAACCACGGGCACTGGGTTTGGGGAGGGCAGCCCCAGCTTTTCTGAGTAACTCTTCTGTTCAGTGATCAGTTTTGGATTTGAAGAATTCTTTTTGCAGTTCTTCAATGGCTTCAGTTCACTGAAGTAATTGAGAACAGCTCCCTTTTCCAAGCAGGACTTGGTTTTTTGCTATGAATTGCTGAGACTCCTTTAGTTTTCTCCTGCAGGGATGTTACGAATTTGGGAAACAGAAGTCACTGGTTCTGAAGTCACTGTAGAGATTTACATGACGAGGGTTATCATCTGGCAACTTTTAGTGCTGTATTTTAGACATAAAAGGGAAGGTAAAAGAAAGGTTTGGGGCACCTGAATTCCTTTCCTGACCCAGATAAGAGCTGCCGAGGCAGAAGTCGGCATTAAAACCTCACCGCTCCTGATCTATAATGTCATCGGAAGAACACGTTTGTATTTACAACCCAGGGCTGTATTTACAACCTTTTTTTTTGCTTGCTTTGTTCCTTAAGAGGCTCTGGCTGCCCACATTTTATGCACTCCTGGAATGCAATAACAATTGTGGCATCGTCTCTTCAGAATTCGTTTTCCTTCCTGAGATCGGGCCGGTGATAAGGCCTCACAAAACCCTCCTTGGGTTCTGCCTGAGATGGCTTTAACTGGGTGAATTCATTCTCTCCTTCCTTTTCTTCCTGACCTTTCAAGCAGCTCACTGTGATCTTTGGAATTTTGCAATACCCTCAGTGCTCTGCTCTGGAAAATGAAATCCAGGCTTGTTTATCTACGCAGGCCCAAACCCGCTTCCAAAGTGTTGTCAAATGTCCATGGAACCTTCCAGAAAGGTGCTAACACCTCCCACACTGCTCCTCACCACTTTGCAGGTGTGGGAAATAAAACCTCTGCCTTTCTGCAAGTTCTGCTGTGCTCAGGAAATGTTCTGGACTCTTCTGGAGCCTGCTGGAACAGAGCTGGACGTGTGTGGAGATCGGGTTCTTGTCCCTGCCGAGGCTGCAGAGCAGTGCCAGAGTCTCATATGAGAGATTCAGAAAATAGAAAACTTCACTGGCACTGCCTGGCTTTGGGGTTTATTTTTTTTATTAGGATTTTAAGCAATACACTGAATAAAAGTTGTGTTGTATGTGTTCTGAAATACAGTTTGCCTGCACTCCTTCAGCCCGGGTTACAGGAGCAGCTGCCCAGGGCTCCTTTAAATCAGACACACATGTCTGTAAGGTCTTCAATATTTTGTTTCTTGGCCAATCACTGAGAGGAATTAAATTGCTAAATTGACTGTATTAGCCTAAGAACTGATGAAAAGTGAGATTAACCATTTGCTTGATAGCCTCCTCCTTCCCCCTGTTCTTTCCTCCTTAGTTTTTAGTGTAAAAATGCTTATTTTAAAAAACAAATTATTTGTTTTATTTATAAAAATTTTATTTTACTTATATCATTTTATAAAAATAGATATTTAAAAAAACTTTATCTATGAAATGCCATTTAATATTATTTATTTTAAGCCTTTCCATGTTTTCATTCACAGCTATTTTGTCTGACAGGTATTTACATGTTTTAATCCTCAGGAATAATTCTCTTTTCTATGTTCATTTTTATCCATATGTATAAATCTATTTTTACTGATAATATAAAGGTAATGGAAAGCAGGTGAGCAGTGAAAACATTGCCACCAATTTTGAAGGAATTACAAATTTTCCCACTGTGTAAAGTTTGTGCAAAAGTATATAGAGAGACTGAGGGCTTGTATAGAGAATTGTTAAAATCAAAAGCATTTTGAAAGGCTGAGGGTTTGTATATAGAATTATTAAAAACGAAACCAAGAGCACAAAACATCTTTTCATACAGTAAAAATCTAGAGGAGGTTGAAGTGAGTGAACTGTTCACCAACAGAAAGGTGTCAATCAAATTAAATTAATTAAAATGTGAAGATACAAAACCAATCGAGTCAAACATCAGTACTCCCTCACCACAGAATGTCATTTTTAAAAATCAAAATGGCTTTAAAAATGCGAACATAAGAAGAAATGAATATTTACACATAATTAAACATTCAAAATAGCTCATGTAACCACAGCCTTATCTCTAGAAACAAAAATGCAAGCATCCACTGAGTGATATTAGCAACTGAAAGGCTTTTGTTTAGACTTTTTGTTTTCTTGGCAATAAAGAAAATTCTTTGGAAGAAGTCATTAAGATATTTCTTAATGTTGCCTTTTCAAACTTTGCAGGCTGCTATCCTTGCCCAGGGCCAAACATGAATCCTATTGCTCTTGGAAGCCGTTGGCTTGCTTATGCAGAAAATAAGGTAAGGAGGGGTTTGATATCAAAAAATACTTCTAGATTCTGTGTATATAGGGGGAAAAAGAAAAGAAAAGGTCTCAGGAAAAAGCTATTTGCAAAAGAAAGTAAGCGGAGTTGCATTAAAATGACAGTCCTAAGTATTTTAAAATACGAGATCTTTACTCTGCACATTTGATTTAATCTCAGTTTAAGGGACTTGGAAGGCAGAGCAGACAGCCAGAAACATGTGTTTCCAGTGAGGTAACTCAATAATCAACCCATTTTGTGCTTTAAAAGTTTAAAACATTTAATTACAGACACTTCTGAAGGTAGGCAAAAAAACCCCACTTCTTAAATTCTCTTTGGGGAAACTGAGTCTGGAAAGAGCCTGTTGGCTCTCTGACACAGCAATGCACTCTGTAGCTTAGAAAATAACATTAAATTGGCCCCTTTTGAACACCTTTGAAAAAGTTAAGCTCCAAGAAAAAAGTGAAAAATTTTAGACTTTTTTCCTTCTTTCTAGAGACAAAGAAAATAGATTCCCAAGCAAAGAAATGATCATTGCTTTTACCCAGAGGAGCGGTTGTGTGTTTAAAGCTTGAAGTGAAGCCTAAATTCGGCTCCTAATGCTTTATTTTGATTTCAAAGCAGATGTTTTTTCTCCCTTCCACCTGTGACTGGAGAAGCTGTTTCTAGAGCTGAGCCAGAAATTATCAGAGGCAGATTTTAGAAATCTATTTGCTGTTACACCTCCTCCAGCACAGCTGATTTCTTCCCAAATTCAGGCCTGCCTTTCCTTGAGTGCCACACCTTGCTGATGCTGGAAAACTTAACCCTGCTCAGCACAGAATTTAAAAAGTATTGCTGCCAAAATATCAGTAAAAGAATTGTATCACAAAGGGAATTTAAATGGCTTGTGTGTTCCCAGCTAAATTCGCTGTGGGCTTTTCCTAGTTTAGGTATTTTTATTTAGATGTTTAAATATAAGCGTGTGTGTTCCCAGGTAAATTCCCTAGTTTAGGTATTTTTATTTAGATGTTTAAATATAAGCAGGACAGAAAAGTCTGTAGAAACAAATACATTTTACAGTAATTTTTAATTTTCTTTAGCTCAAATAGTTAAACAGCATGTTCTGTGTGCAAGCAACAAATATTTATATTTTTTTCTAATTTTGCATAGAAGCACAGATTCTATTGTTACTTATGGTTCAAAGGCAAAACCTACTTTTGTAGGGTGATGGCAGGTACAAGAGTCTTGTTTTGATTTATTGATTTTGAAGGAAAGCAATAAAAAGCAAACCCCATGTACATTCCTTTAATCTATTAAATGCAAAGTTTCAAACAACTCTTTTCCTTTGTCATTTCTTTGCTTGCTCGTCATAAAAAGGAGGGGAAAGCCACACTCAGATTCTTAGAATGGCTGATATTTAATGTTACATATACATGGCTAAAGCTTTTGATTATATTTATTTAAATTTATTTGTGGTATTGCTGCCAGACCAAAAATCCCACCATTTCAAAGTTTATGAATTCTTAGTGAGTACTCATCTGGTAATTGAAAACTGGAGCGGGGGACGCGACAGTCTGGGTGGCACCCAGAAGATTATAAAAAGGGGTTAAGTGTCTCAGCAGGGCTTTTTGCTGTTTGTAGGAAAAAACACACCACTGTACATGATAAATAAGAGCTCTGGTAATGGGTTATGGGTTTGTGTAGTTTAATAGTAGTGACTTGGTTGCTGTCTTTTCTTCTTGTAGCTGATCCGATGCCATCAGTCCCGTGGTGGAGCCTGTGGAGACAACATTCAGTCTTACACTGCCACAGTCATTAGTGCTGCCAAAGTGAGTCCATCATCTGCCCTGGGAGAGCTGCTCGTGGAACATAATTATGAGGTTTCCCTGCTGAATTGGGCTGTGTGTCATCACCCCCTCCCTTCCCAGAGAGGAGAGCACACTGAGAGCCCTGCAGCAGCAGCACCGTGCCTGCCCTCCCCGTCCTGCAAATCTCTGACTGACTGTAGCTTTCCACAAAGTATTTCTGTTTCTGAGCTGATTTTTTAAAATTTCATTTATTACAAACAGCTATTTACATTAGAGGGAAGTGACAGTGGGATGGATTTGTGTAATGGCTGTTCATAGTGGCACAAGTTTATATGATTAGAAATCAACATTGTGAATTATTACTCTTTTAGCATCATGAAAAGTGACTTTACAAGTGCCTGGTGCTTTTTGGACTCCATCACACCCCCATTATACGATTTGCTCTCTCTGAAGGGTGACAGCACAGTACTGGAGCTAATTAATTACCTTCTTTGAAGGTTAGAGCTTATTAATGACTGTTTACATATAGGTTCCATTGCCTCGTTTTCGTACTTCAGATGATGTTATAAAATCCCTCTGTTTTCAGAGAAATGTCTGGGGTTTTGTAGTATCAAAAGAAGCTCATGGCTTGGAAAAATCTTAAACAAGACAGAGCACAACTTTTGTTTCACTGTCTCCCTCCCAGCTCCTTTCCTTGCTGCAACAACAATTTCTTTTTCTCTCACACACACACAGAGTGAGTTTTGGCACCGTGGGGTGAGCTCGGTGCTGATTACAAGCTTCCCTTGTAACCACCAGCCTTTTCATTTCTGATATGTGCAACAAAACAAACCTAATAATAGGAATGAAATGACAGCGTGGGACAGAAGGCTCGGTGGCACCGAGGAAAACAACAGTTAGGAGAAGCCACAGAGAGAGACACAGGGCAGGCCAGCTCATGTGAAAACAAAACAGAAAAACAAACACAGTCCATCACAATCACAGTGTGGCCGGAGAAGGAGAAAAATCACAGCTTTTTACATTGTTGAGGGGAGCTGGAATTGCTCCTCTCCCGAGGTGATTTGCTGGATCTCTGTGTGCTTTCACCATCAGCACAGTTTAAAAAGAGATGTGTGGGGAAATCTCCCCAAATTCCTTCAATCCCAGCATTGTGAACATCTTTTTTATAACACAGATAAGTTTGAAAAACTGAGTGGCTTAGTGTGATCAGCCACAGTTTGGATCAGATGTGGCAAAATCCTGCAAACAGATCACTGTAGCTGATGGCCTTCCCTGCTGAGTAGTACTAGCCAGGGATCATAATCCAGAAATTCTGCTGTTAAGCTGAATTTATCACACTGAAGTAGTGCTATTGCATCATGTGAGTAGATACTGAAGATAAAATGTGTTTATAATCATAGGAAAGAAAAGATTGTTAGCCTCTGTACAGAGATAAACTCCCAGTGAGAGTTAGGAAAAGGGATAATCCCCAGGGCATGGGCTCTGTGCTGCTCTGTATTTGGACAGCACATTGCTCATGCTCCTGTCTGTTGGATGTTACTGTAATAGACAAGATTAATACTAATATAGTTTTAAATATTTGCATGATTTGGCTCTTGAGGAGTGTCTCAGCTTAGTGTATTAATTTGTTATCCATGAGCACGCCACAGTAAATCTGCAATGTTTAATTTATTAGTGATTTCATTGAGTCTTGGCTTGCTGTCTAGCAGGTTTTCATCTCTGATAACTGCAGGGCTGACTTTCTTGCTGGCAAATAGATGCTCCATATTTCCACTGCTCTTTGTCCATTTCATTGCCTCACCATCAACTTCACTCCTTCCTTATTTAATTCTTCATTTATGAACCTTCATTTGTGCTGTTGTGTCCTGTCAGCTGCAGGGGTTTGTAATTCCTTTGCTTTGATTAGTGAAGGAACAGCTTTTGGGAAGTGCATGTCCTTTCCTTTTCCCTGCACTGCTGCTTTTTGGTTCAGAAGTGGTTCCATTAAAGTTCTTATTTGCCAGGTTACCTTGGGTTACAGCCTTTTCTCTGGTTGGCTTCCAATTTTCTACTGAAGTGAAAGAACCTTCATATGAAAGAGAAGGACAGCTGAGAGCTTTCAGCAGGGTCACTTTGGAGAATTGCCTTTCAGATCCTCTCTAGAAGGTCTTGGTGGCAGCACAGAATATTTTCTGTAATGGTTTTCCCTTTGCTGACCCATGTCCTGGTGCTGTCAGGGGTTTGTTCTCAGTGGGAGCTGCTGCTCTTGGTGCAGCAAATAAATTTCCTCCTTAATCAAATAACTTGGGAGTTATTTGGGAAGGTCCCTGTTGACCAGAACCACCGAGGTCAAAGTCGTGATCGTGTTGGTGGCCTTCTGAGTGTTCATGTTCCAAAAGCTCTGGTAGTTTCTGTCATTTGACCAAGCAGAAAATTTCAGGAAGCAGAAAATGTGTCAAGATTCACATTTGGATTAATGATGAGTGCAGATAAAAATGGATGTGTTTGGAAAAATGGAAGTAACATTCCTTAGAGGTGTTGAAGAATGCACTCAGTGCGTGCAGACAGGAAAGTCCCTTCCAGGGGATAAAGATTCTTTTCAGTTGAACAAACAGTGGCATGGACACAGAATTTCTTTCAGAATAAACCCCATTATCCCTTTGTTCTAACTGAGTATGAGGCTCAACCTCACTGTGTTGACACCCAAGGCAGATTTTTTTGATGTCTCTTTCTGCTTGCTATAGATTTTTCATTTGCAATAAAATAGATCAAATAAAATGTATTTATTATGAGAAACAGGAACAATATATTGTGTTGTCACTAAAAGGATGCAAGGCCTTTGTTGGAACAAAGCATCCTAACAGGCACTGAATGGTGCATTTTAATTCTTTTCATCTAATTAAAGTTGTACTTGCTTTTCAATTAAATGAGGTATGAGGGTATACATCGATTTTAATTAAATATATGTATTTCTTTATATTCAAATAGATGTGAACAGTCATATTTTGAAGTAGATAGGGTACACATGAGCATATCAATAATGTGTGTTTCTGCACACTGTGGATCACTGGTTACAAAAGAAACTGGATCAAGTATTTTCATTTTATTTATCAGCAGACTTCACTGGCGGGTTCCCATCAGTGACAAAGGGACTGGGACAGTGCAAACTTGAACCCATTTCATTTAAAATGTATTTGCTCTGTCACACGTCTCGCATCAAATTATAAACCAAGTCCTTGTCACCTCATAACTCCCTTGCTTGATTCCTTCTCCATATCTTTTAATCCTGTACTGGTAAAGTGATTTAGCAAAGGCTGCATCTGTTTTCTCTTGTTACCTGATAACTTCTTAATGAGGACTAACAGCTTATGTGAGAGCAAGGTCATTAGCCCTAATGGATGGAAGGGACAGCTGATATGGCATGGGAAAGGTTAAAGATTACCCCAGAAGTTTTTGCAAATATACACAGCAGCAGTAAGTGCTGTAATGGTTCTGCACTGATATTTCTGAGCTAATGGCCTTGGCCACATCTCTGCACACCTCTCCCTGCTGCAGGCCCACACTGGTCATTTTCTTCTAGAGAGCTGTAAATTTACGGTTGGTACTTTGCCATCCCATTGCTCTCATTATAAATATTGAAGATATTTTCTACAACAGGTCAGTTACAGTTTTTGGCCTTTTCCCTTGCACAGGTATTTTGCCATGTAGCATTTTCTGCTTTCTCCTCCCTGCCTTATAAACTAAGAACAAATCATTTTCTAGGATTTTAGCTATTGGCCAAAAAACTGCCTTGTCAGTTTTTGCCAGGAGAGCTGGAATGCATCCCTGTGATGGCACTGGGGCTATTTTAGGTTTATTCCTCAGCTGTCAATATCTGCTTTATGTTACCTCTCCCAGCCTCCCGAGTCCGCCACTGTTAAAACCCGTTTTATTCTCCTCTGCCGTAGCCGGGTATAAAAAGAAATAACAAGAAACAAATGGCAGGATATTACTAAAGACTTTAAACCCCCAAAGCCATTGCTGTGCTAAAGGCCTGGCTCGATTTTAAGTGGAAGTATCTCCATTAGCATTAATGGGGTGAGTCCATCAGCAGAGGCATCTCAGAGGTTAATCAGCCTTCCTGGCTGGCCATGGCCATCGATACCGTGTGGCGCCTGCTGCTGTTGGCCCTTCAGAGGCTTTCCTGACAACACACTAACAGACTTTGTGTAAGTCATTTCCCATGAATTATTAAAACAAACGTTTGGCTGCTAATTGATGAACACTAATGTGTTTTCTAATCACTGCAGTTTGAGATTTTAGCACTAAACAAAGCAGTTGCAATTGATTTGTGGCTGCTTCTTGGTTTCAGCTTGGGATCTGGACATTTTTTTCCTTTTCAATTTAGCAGGCAGCTTAGCTTGTCTTTTTAGTTAAGAATTGGCTTGTTACAGTGTCATTCCATTCTGATCTCTTTTGCTATTTCTTATTTATATTGCATAATAAATCTGCTCAATTCTTTACAGGCAAATAAGGCACAGTCCTTGGTTCAAGGAGAAAATATTTAAAGTTGTAGTTGGGCTTGTTTTTCTTTCAGCCTGCATTTCTCCTACTGTGTCTACTCTGTCTCTTTCTCCAAATAAAATAAAGCAAAATAAAAATAATCTTCAGCATCTTTAGCTGCTAAAAGCTGGTGCAGTGAATGTGTTTTCAAGCCCATGTCTGGGAAACATGCAGAGCCTGGAAAGTCCCATTCCTTGTGCTGGGATGTGCCTGAGAGTTCCAGGACCTCGAGGGTGGCATTTTTAATTTTCCTGGATTTGAGTCTCATATTTAGTTTTAATGCTTAATTACTGAGTAAAAAAATGAGTGTGTCAGATGTAACAAAAGACAAATTCTTACTCTCTTGCACAGTGCAGAAGACAAAACTCTGTCAGCTTGAGGGACTGTTTGTGTTTAGTGTGAGCAGTACCCTCCTCACACCCATCGTGGCCTCGTCTTTGATCCTTCTGACCATGCATGCTATGGGAGTAACTAAAACCAAATTTAAAAAAAACCCCAGCACTGGAATACTTAAAATACAAACGCTTTAAATTATTTGAACATTAAAATACTTCTTTTTTCAATAGTGCTTTGGCATAATTGACTTCCAAAAGAAAGGTGAATTCTTCCGTTTGCTAGGACGCCAAATTTTTTCAAGCTGTTTTGTTGCAGCCTTTTGCAGCTGATACACCACTCCTAAAAAAAATCCACTTCCAGAAAGAACCTGAGCTGAACCCTGAACATCATTTGAAGGAGTTTTTTGCCCTTTTTTGCAGACAATAAAGACTGGGCTGACAATGGTGGGGAAGGTGGTGACCCAGCTGACGGGGACGCTGCCGTCGGGAGCCACCGAGGAGGAAATCCTGGCTCACAGCAACCTCCGCAGGAGTCCCCTGGTGCCTGGCATTGTCACCATCATCGACACCGAGACCGTGGCAGAGGGACAGGTAACAGTGTGCACGCAGCCAGGCCACCACAATCCCAGGGAAATCCTTTTTGTGCTGTTGGGAGTGAAAAAGAAACCGGAGTTTCGCCGGGGCGGGGAATTTTACAGACCCACAGAGCTGGGATAAAATCCTGTTTGGGACTGAAACGCAGCCAAAATATATATTGTCCTTGCAGCATATTTATGTGACACTTTGACAAGATCAAGTGTGAAGTGTCACATTTTGTCTCCCCGACACTTGTTCCTAATTGACATTGATTGATGCTGATCAGTGGAAGTGGAGATGGAGTCTGATGATCCTTATTAATACAGAACGGGGCTGGAATGTGGGGTTGTTTGGGAATGGGGGGAATGGTTGAATTCCAGGCTAAAATAAATGATGGGAGAAGTTGGGTGTGAAGGGTAAAAGTTATAATTTTATGTAGATCCCAAATGCAGTTGAGCACAATGCTGGTTTGTGAGGCATTTGCACTGTTTTATAATCTTAAATTTACTGTATATAATAATACAAAGTGCAGTGCATCAGGAAAAATCTTTTGTTACAAACTCCACACCATTATCAGACAATTTTTAAATTGCTGGATTTTCCTGTCTTTATGACAGAGAAGATATCCATGTCTTTTTTTGTTTGTTTCTGCCACTCATTTAATTTTAAAGTGGCTGGTCCTGGAATCAGTGTTTATGCAGAACTCCCACGCACTTCATTATTCTGTAACTAGTCTGTGAGATTTTTCTTTCTCATGGTCACATTTATTGAAGTTAAAACAAAAAAAACTTCAATTTTTTTCTTGTTTTTCCCTATCTTTATGATGCTCGTTGCAGGTAAGTTAGTGAGGTATTAAGGACACATCAGAAGTCCAATATTTAGCCAAGTTATTTTATTTTTTTTTTTCTTGACAGGAAAATAGAATCTTTTACTTGAAAAAATAACAAAACAAAGAAAAACTTTGTTATGGTTGTTCCCTGAGAATTAATTTTGGAACTATTTAGCCAAGCAATTTTCATTAAAAGGGAATTGTTCATAAAACAGTGCAGACATTTTCTTCCAAAATTGAAATAAAAGAAAGAAGATAATGGAAAAAAAAAATTAAGATCTTAGAATCAGGTCTTAAAATGATTCTGTTGGCTGTTCGGATTTGTTTTTGTTTCCAGGAAAAAAAATCTTTTGGCTCTTCATATACAACAAGGAAAGAAAAAAAGACAAATTTGACTTCATAAATTTCTGATGAAGCTGTTGAATGTGGTCATTATTTCTGCTGGTTGCTGTCTGTGCTTTGATTCTTCTGCATGGGCCTAGGGGGAAAAAAATGATAGATCTTAGGTTTTTAAGGCTGGTTATATATGATTTAGAGGTTTTATGAACTTGTCCTCTGACCCTGACAATAGTAGGGAGCTATCAAAGCCTAAAGGGCACTCCAGGAGAGGAGCTGTAAAATGATAACGTTTGTCTTGTCCAAACCCTGCTGCTCTTACATAAATAAGCCATCAGCTCTAGGAAAATAAGTTTTTTCTTGAACCTCTAGGAAGTTGGATATCCTAATTGTGTGTATTGCATTCATATTTTTGTGATCTGAAGATTTTAAATGCTGTTAAATGATATCATTTATTTCCAGTGCTGCAATTTGCTTTCAGAATTATATTTATTTCCAGGAAAACAAGAAAATAACCTTCCTTTTGCATTGTTAGAGTTTCATGGTGCAGGAGATTTTTTAAACAATTTTTTCTTACTGAAATGTCCCTCTGGCAAAAAGAAAGCTGATTTAAAATAAATAAATGCACTTTGTACGTGGTCATTCCACACTGCCAGTACAGAACCTTCTCCTGTCAGGGGTGTCCTGGGTGCCCCCAGTCCCTCTGAGTCTTTTCCTGTGCCTGCAGCTCTGTTTGCAGTGGAAATGTGAGTTTTTGTGAGTTTTTGTGCAGATGTGAGCTGGTAGATCCTGCTTGTGGCAGGGATCTTGGCGTGTCCCAGGAGCCTGGCAGGGATGCGATGCTGTGTGCTGGCAGGAGAATTCCTGCAAGGAATGCCAGTGTGGATGGCACTTTGTGCTGGCTGGGTGACCTGGCTGGGTTTGGGGCAGGATTCAGGGAAGTGTTTTAGCACCTCTGACCTCTGAAGGAGGTGAGAATCTCGCTGAGCTCACTGCCCTGGGCTGCAGCAGGCACTGCTCTGAGCTCCTTGTGCCCAGAATCTCTGACTTTGGTTTACTCTCCTGTGGAAAATCAGTTTGAGAGTAGTGGTGACCTGAGCTCCATCCTCACTTTGGCTGGTGGGACAGGCTGGTGATGCTAAATCCTCTCTGTTGTAGGGTCACTGTCTGTTTCAGAGGTTTTTCTGAAGTTACTGGTTTATAGAATCACAGATTCAGAGGATCATTACATTTGCAAAACACCTGCAGGATCATCAAGGCCAGACTTTGAATCCTGCCATTCCCATGGATCCAAATTGCCACACCTGCTCAGTTTTTGAATCCTCCCAGGGATGGGGACTCCACTTTCTTTGGGGGAACTCTTCTTCCAGTGCTGAAGCACTCTCAGTGAAAGGATTTTTCCTTGTTTTATACCCCCAGTTTTCAGATTCCTGAAAAGAAGAGTTCTGAGTGGAGTCAACAAACCCTTCCTGCTGGTTTGGGATGTTCATGGCTGTTCCCATCAGGCTCTTCCTCCTCTTACTGAGAAACCCTGAATTTAAAATTCCAGCCAAGTATTTTCTGGGCTAAATGAGCACTTGGGAAGCCCTGAATCCCATTCAGCAGGGGTTGGTGTGTGCTCACACGAGTTCCAGCCTTGTCACAGCTCAGGGCAATTTCAGAAGCAGGGAGGAATTATTTTCCTATCATCAGTGCCCTCTTAATATAAAATAAATACCTCACCTCCTTCAGGTCAATAAAGATTTCTATCACCTGCACAGCCTGACTAAGAATTTGGGTGTTGCAGTGATAGATACATTTTCCAAGTAATAAAATATGCCTGTAAGATAAGATACAGTTAAAAAAAAAATAATCTGTTTTAAAAAGAGAAAGAAAATGGAAGACAGCAATAAATCTAAGGCAGGCAAATAAATAATTTTAGAGGAGAAATAAGAACTTTTTTTTGAGTGGGGAAGCATTTTTTTTTTTTACATAAATGTGTCTAAAGTTTTGCAAATTAATGATCCAAGTACTTTTTCAGTTATTTCCAACACAGTGCACAGGTTCTGGAAATGGTCTGAGCTGCTCTGTGCATATGTACAAATATAACAATTTCTGTGCCAGGAGGGTGATGAAGGGACGTGTTGGACACAAACCAAGAGGACTAACTATAATTTTCACTAATTTTTAATAATTTCTCCTATTTCAAAGGCATTAAATATGAGGGATGTGAGAGGGAGCTCGATGTGTCTCGTTCACTGCCCTGTGCTGCCGTGGCAGAGGGTGAAATGCAAACTCACCACAGAAAAATCCACAATTTAAGACCAAATAACTCTCCAAATGTAATCTTGCAGGATTAAATCTGTAGGGAAAGCATTTTTAATAAACCTTATGAATGTAGATACTGTAGTAAACTCTCATCCCCAGCAGTTGTTTATGTGATAGCTCCTACTTTCAGAATTGGTGCTACTTTAAGAAAATTTGAATTATGAGGTAATTAAATAAATGCAGAGGAATGCAGAATTATTGACATTGGCTGTCAGGAGATATTTGTAAAAGGAATAAAAATAATTATCGAGATGCCCAAGTAACTTTGTGGTAAACCAAAATATGTTAACAAGGTTGTGTGCTTGTTTAAACTTCCTTCTAATGAAGTGTTAGCAAACTTTTCAGTTAGATGGAAGGACTATTTATTTGAATCCCTTAATTAGTTGAAATGGATAAACCTAAAGCTGTACAGATGTCCTCTTTTTCAGTAATTGGAATTAAACGTGTAAGACTTTATTGGCTTGGGTTTGAAAGAAAAATTATTTTCTTTCGACCTTTGTTTCTGTATTCTTAATTAATTCATCCACTGGGCCACCCACGTGCAGGCTGCAATAATGACCTTGCTCAAAAGTCACCAGTTTTGGGGCAGAATGTAAATCTGTTCAACATCTAGCAGTTGGCTGACAGAGAAAGATGTGGCCAGTTCAAAACCCAAAACTCAGTGCTGGGTGCCTTCGCCAGGGCTGTGGGTGATGAAATCTCACCGTGCAGCTCATCCACAGCTCTGCAGTATTGGAGGGAATGTTTTCAAAACAGCTCAGCAAAATAAGATAACATGTTGATCTATTTATGTTTTAAAATGTAATCAGGGCTTTTTTTTTCCTCCCTGTTCCCTATTAAGTTTTTATTGCATTAAAGAGGAATTTTTGGGAAAAAAGCAGCCGCAGTTTCCAAAGTTCATTTTCTTTTGGTGAGGAGTTGATAGCAATTGAACCAAATCAAGATGCTTATCGGGAGCAGGAATTGTGAAATTTTGGTCTGAAGCAAAAAGAAGCTCAAAGAGTGAAGCATATTCAATAATAAAACTTTAACTGCAGACATAATTCCACTGGTCATTAACACCAGGGCTTTTATTTTAGGAGCAGCTTTGGCAAAGGCTGATGTGATGTCCTGATGCACAGATATTTGGCCTCAATTTTCTTCACTTTTTATATCTCTGTGTATTACAGAAGAATTCTTTTTATATATAAATATAAAAAGAGCAACAGGATTCCCTCAGAGCATAATACTGTCTGCCTCACTTTTATTAAAGGAGATCTGGTTTTTGTCAAGAAGACATTTTTGTCTCAGATAAATGGTTCAGGCTGAGCGTGAGGCTGGTTTGAGTTTATGCTGGATTCTATTAAAAGGAGTGCAGTAGTTAATGCCACAGATCTATCACTTTTAGCCCCTTTCCACTGAAGTTTGACCTTGGCTGTAACTTGGGGGAGGCTCCTTGTGAATCAAACTCCAGCTCTTTAAAGCATTGGGGATCTCAAGTGTACAGCAAATATTTGTTATACAATATTCATATTTATAATTATTGCCAAACCTATTTGTTTTTATGATGATGGGATTAGTCTTTTCTTAATTGTATTAAGAGTAGGACCTGCTTGATTAGATTTGGGTCCATTTTTATTTGTGTTACTTTCATGTTTTATTTAAAAACATGTCTCCACTGGGATAAGTGGTGTAATTTGCCTTTAAAGATTAAAATAATTAAAGTCATAATTACAAGTGGCTTCTGCTCAGCAGTACTGAAAATACCACAGAGGAAGGAAAATATGGCATAGCAGAAAAAGCTCTGGCTGCAGTTCTCCCCTGCCCTGGCAGCAAACACTGCTGGCTGGTACTAAATGCAACCCTGCCCTCAGAGCTTTGTCTCCTCTTTTGGGGTGAGATAAAGATGATTTGGTGAATCTTTGACAAACTTCAGAGTTCTGCTGTAACAGAGCTGCTTTGGGAGTTGGTTTGGCTCAGCACATCCAGCCACGGGCTCTTTGGCTGGGCAGCTTTGGGGAAAATCCTGCTGCAGCTCTTGATAAAATATTTTTGGGCATCAGGAGCAGCTGAGGGCTCGTTCACGAGGAGCCTTGGTAGAAAAGTCTCAGTGTTGGTCTCTTGTTGGGAGATCTGCAAGGAGGATCCTGCTGGAGCTCAGTGGCTCTGGGACCACCAGAGCCATGCTGAGATTTCTGAACCTCTCTCAATGAGAGACTTTGGAAGGTTTTTTAGCAGAGTGGTTAGAGGCCACTACCTTGGAGAAGGAAGCCTGTTTGGGAGGGAAAAAACTGCAGCCTTGGGATTCCTGTGGGCTCTGCAGGCTCTGGGAGGCAGAATGAACTGCTTCCCTCGAGCTCTCCGACAGCCCCTGCGTGTGTTATTAGGGAAATTGTCCCTCTGGTTTGATTTCCAGGAAAAATTCCCAATTCTGTTTTCAGGGGCACGGAATCCTCAGCTGGCTGGAGAAGCTGGTGGTGCTGGTTTGATGTTCCTAAAGCACCGGGTGTTGGATCAGCATAGTTTTGATTTCCTGGAGTTGTGTAAAAAAGGGAAATCACTCTGGGGTTTAAAGCTGTGCAAGCTCTGAGCTGGGATGGGAACCAGGCTTTGGTTTGGTGCATCTTTGTGAGGGATATTTGGTTGATGATGGAGTTAAGTCAATTTTTTTCCTCCTTCCTTTGTAGTGTTGGAATTGTGAAAAGTGATATTTGTTATTCCCAAGTGCAGTGCAGAAGAGCAAAGGGAAGACCTGGCAAATCCTGACGATTTCAATGGACTGGTTATTTAAAAAAAGCACTTTTCTCTGTTCCTAAAGTATCTATTTTTTTATGCTGATTTTAAAAAGAGGAAGAACATTTTTTTCATCTTTCCACACAGAAGCAAGTGTTGCTTCCTTGTGTGTTCCCAAAGCCAGTTCTGTCCATTCTGTCAGAGGCAGTGACACCCACGGGTGCTGAGAAAGGAGCCCTGAGTGTCACATTCCCCACTGCCCAAGATTTCCAAATTTTTGAGTGATAAAGGTGCTTTTGTGGTTGGTTTTTTTGGCTTTTATTTTGCTTTACTTGGTTAGTACAGGAGATGAACATACTTGAATTTGAATCTGCAAAGGTTGGTTTGCTGTACCAGATAATCAGCTTTTATAGGGAAAGGGGAAATCTTTAAAAACTCTTTTTGGAGTATTTTTTTTCCAGGAATATATTTTTAAGTAGTAAATGACAAAATAATTGAAAGCATGGGATCAGTTAACATCACATACAAATAGAGATTTGGACTTTTTTGAGTTCTCAAGTTTTCTAAGTCTGTTCCTAAGTCTAAGGTGTTTTGCAGTTTTTGATATTGTGACTTTTTGCTTTGTATCATATTTCCAGAGGAAAAATACTTAAGGGTCAGGTTGCCATCCAGTGCTCCTGCCTGTTGGACAGGGGTTTATTCTGCAGGGGTGATAACAGCAGTGCATTTATCATTTTTATTTTTTTCCTCAAATAAAGCCATGTTGAATTACTCCTGTAGAAGAGGCTGCATATGAAATATCCTGTATACCTGTTTCTAGCAATGACTTAGCTCCTGTGATACCTACACATTTCTCATTGAATATTCTTATTTAACAGGCAAGACCTGCAAAAAAATTCTTTGTGAAGCTGGTTTATGGTATTCATTTGTCATTATCATTTCTCTTTAATTAGAGCAGAGTGCTGAGGCTGAGCCCAGCTCCCTGGGAGTGGGAGCTGATGATGATGGCTGGCAGTGCCCGAGGTTCCCTGGCTCAGGGAGAGCTGTGCTCCTCTGCAAAGCCCTCAGAAGATCTCCAGCCCCTCTGGCTTGGTGGTTCTGGAAGCTGCAGGAAATGCTGACGAGGAGAGCAAAGCCATAATTGAGCTGGGAGGTGCCAGAGCTCTGGGCTCTGCCAGCCCAGCCCAGCCCAGCCAGGCTCCTCCAGCCCTGCTCCAAACGCCTGGAGAGGATTCCTGGTCTTCTGAGTGGAAAAATAACTTCAAATGATTTTGATATCTGTTTGGGATAGGAAGTATTAAAAACCTTGCAGATTATTTTGGAAGAGGCAGACAAATTATTCAGGGTGGTTTTGCACTGTCTCAGTAAGAAGATGGTTTTTGCTCACCACAAAACCCTCTTTGTCAAGTCCTTTTCTGACTGATCTTTATTTTTGTTTTACTTAATTCAGCTTTTAGGATGATGTAATCAAAGAATAAAACACTCCTACAGCTCTTGCATGGTTTTGTCCACACAGATTCTGGTTCTGTTCTACAAATCTAGGAATATCTTTGCTTTTTCATGCAATTAAACTTAGCTATTTTGTCCCTTTGTATGTCCTCACACTCAGCTTTAGTTTGACCGGCCCTGGAGTTTTATCAGCTTCAAATTTGCTTTTGTTTAAAACACCAAAGCTTATCTTTTGTCCCCTGCCCCAGAAACTGCTGCACAACACAGATCTCAGTCCAGGTATTTCCTTTTCCACTGAATTTCCCTGTGCTGTGAAAACTCTCTGCTGTATTTTAATTCCTTTTTTGTTCACAAGAAGGTATTTTATGAGGGCCTGATTTTTTGGTAACAATTTTGTAATAGTGTTACCTCATACTGAGTGAGGCAGTTTCAAGTCAGAGAAAATTCATGTTAACTGTAAATTCCACAATGTATCCACACTCCCAGCCCTGGGCATTCCTTGCATCCTTTGGAAATCCAGATCTCTCCATTCCAGCACCACTGACAGCAGGATGGAAGCTGTGCTGTTCCCAGCTGGGGGACTCCTGGAAAGCAAACCCACTCTCTGGGGTTTGATCTGATCTTCCACTTATTTACCTTATGTACTTGGGATCAAAATACTGATTTATGTAAGGGTTAAATATTCTTTTTTTTTTCTAGGATGTAATTTTGTTATTGGAAACCTCAGATGGAGCTTCCTGCACAGCACGGTGTAGTGAGCCCTTTTGCAGTCAGCTATAATTCATGGAAAAAGACAGGACTATTTTTTCTATTTTTCCCTAATTTGAATAGGATAAATAAATAGGAAATAAATGAAATAGGAAATAAATAGGATAAATGACTAGGAATTCCAGGCATAGAGTGGATAATCCTTTCTGGTTGTTAGAGCAGCTCTCATGTCTGTATGTGAGGGAGTTCCAGGATTGTTGCTGTTGAGGCAGGTACACTGTGAATGTGACACCTTACCCAGCAATCCCTGGGTCAGGAAATGGGGATTTTCCCTCTGGAGTGTTTTTTCTCTGATCTGGGCTGTGTTGTGTCCCCAGGTGCTGGTGAGTGAGGACTCGGACAGCGATGGCATCGTGGCCCATTTCCCTGCTCATGAGAAGCCCATTTGCTGCATGGCCTTCAACCCCAGTGGTAAGAGATTCTTCTGCTTGTTGGGATGGGTGCAGACAAGGCAGGAAATCCCATGGGAATTTGTCCCCTGGCTTTGGAGGGATTGCTGGTCCCACTGGGACACTGCAGGTGACCTGCTCTGCAGAGTGTAGGATGGGTCATTTGTCTTTTCTGGAAATTTCAAACTGTAGCAACTCTTTCACTGTGGTAGGAGGAAGGAGATTCAGCCCCTCTTCCACTGCTGAGGAATTCCTGTCTGCTGGGATCTTCCTGCCACGTGGTTGTGATCCTCAGGTATCCAGAGGATCAGCACATTGATTAAATTGTAGTCCTCCCTGAATACAGAAATAAAATAGTTTAATTGGTTTTTAAAGTAACTTATTATTTCTTTGCTAATGAAGAGTTTGTGATCTTACCCTCTCTCCTGAGTGAAACCAACTAAAATCTGAAAATACTTGTAAGAAACTCCTCAAAAGTACCTGTTTCTCTCCTTTCTCTTTATAAATGAACAGTCACTGTGGGCAGCAGGGACAGCTACAAACCTTGTGTATTAATTGATCTTATTAATCTAACAATTAACATTTCATTATCTGCAGATAAATAATGTTCTGGCTGATGGCAGCAGCACTCAGGGAAATGGTCAGGAATCAACAGCTTCCAGTGCCTAAATTAACAATTTCTAAGATGTAGCAAATGCCAGGAAGATTAGGAGGGTCAAGTCACATTTCAGAGAATAAAACTAAATGTCTGTCATTTATGTTTTCACTTTTGCTGACCAGTTGGTGTCATTCTGACACCCCATCTGTTGTGTCAGAACTCCTTAACAGTGCAGAGCTGTTCACTGGGGTTTTGTGACAGAAAAGCTGTATTCTCATCTGCCTGGATTTTCTTGGAAGGGATTTTTTCATGGAGCTCTGTGCAGTGAACTGAGAATCCTCAGTTCCAGAGCAGTCATTTTGCTTTGTGCTCTGGAAGAAGGATGATACCTAAAATGGAGCAATGCTAATTAAATGAAATAAATAAGTGAAATAAATACAGTTGCTTAAATTAGAATGGTAACTAGATATTAATTAAATGCTTCCTTAAGAGAGTTTCCAGGATTGTGTAAATTTAAAAGGCAGCAGAATGTTTATGCAAAACCAAATTAACTTGTTATTTTTCAAAAGGAAGGATATTTTTGCCAATTGCTGGATACTTCTATTATGTTCAAATTCTTTGGTTTGCTCAGGTATTGGGATGACAATAACTTAGAGAGTGACACTTAGATCAAATGGTGTTTAATGGCAAAACACTTCTTTAAGTGGTGTTATTTTTGGCTGCTTGCAGATGCTGTGTGAGGTTTGCAGGAGGGATGGGGACAAACCAGCAGAGAACTCTTCTCCAGTGAGAGCAGCACTTAGCCCAGGATTGTGAGCTCTTTACTGAACATCAAGGCAGGATTTTGTTTGAAGCCAGGGCTGTAACATCATCCCAGCTCATTCTCCAGTGGTCATTGGCAGTCAGGCTGAGCTCATTACAGAGAACAAAACAAGAGGTGGCTTTTGATTCTGTCCTTGGCTGCTTGCTCTGAAACCCCACTTTGACTCCTAATTCCAGGCAGTGACCAGCACACAGTGCCTGCAGTGCTGTGCTGGGGAGGCAAACAAGGAGCACTGCCCTGATTCACTGAGAATTTTACTTTCTGGGGCTGATAAACCCCTTAATCCCATTGTGTCTCAGCACAGGGACTGCACAGGTGCTCAGGCCTGAATTTTGGGAGGATCCCTTTATAGGTTTTTATTGTGTTAAAAATGAGCAGAATCCTCTCTTCACTTGTGCAAATCAGAGTTGTAAATGCCTTTATGAACTGTGATAATGAAAACCAACTTGTGTGTAAATGATCCACATCTCTCCATACTACAGGAATTGTTATTTGTCCTTTTGAGGGTAATTTTAAAGTCCACTGGGCTGCAGCTTTATTTCAGTTGTCTTCACCACATTTAAAAGCAAAGTATAGATGTTTTATTTGTGCTAAAGCTGAGTTGCTAAATACATTGTTGTCTACACTTGGGCAAGTTCTCCACAGACAGAGGACAGTCTGTTCTTTTAGCCCTTGAAGTTTCTTCCTGCTGCCCCTGCAGAGGGGAGGAAGGGCCAGATCCTCTGGGCTCCCCAAGGAAGGTGTGTTTTGGGCACAAGGCCTCGAGGATGCAATGTGGGAATAAGTGGAACATGAAAACCTGTAGAGATGTTTTCACAATTTATAGGTGAGACAAAGTGTAGTAAAATCAGCCCTAAATTTTAGATATGATCAATAATTCTGGAGTCCTGGTGTTCAAGTGTTGAGTTTGGTGTTGGAGGACACCAGGACATTTTCATGTGGACACTGCTGCTCTTCCTTTGGAATTCCACTTTCCATGGGAGCCTCGAGTGATGCAGACCAATAATGAATCATTTTGGAAGCTGGGCTGAGCTTCTGAGCCCACCAGAGCAGGGGGTTGTGCTGGGATCCCAGTTCCTGTGGGAATTCCTGCTGTGGTCAAGCTGGACTTGGCCTCCTGGGCTCCAGGTGGGATTTCCAGCAGCATCCATACAAATATCTCCATTTTCTGTGTCTGGTTTGGGAGGCAAGTTATATAAATTTTCATGTATAAATTTTCATGTCTGTTCAAAGGTTGTTTAAATCATTCACTCCTGTTTTTGGAAGGTTTGTGCCTCGTTTCCCTGTCAGGCTGCACTGCCAAGAACTATATGTACAACAAACCCTGTGGGCAGCCAGGAAAGATGAGAATTATCCCCTTGGATTTTTTTAGGGCTTCTGCTTCGGCTTCCAATTTGTTAAGGCAAGTGAGTAGCCTTAGAGCCTCTGAAAAGGACATTTGTTACCTAAGCTTCCTGGTGGTCTTCTCCTGGGACAGCTTTTCCCAATAAAAGCTTTTTTCTACACTCAAATGCAGCATAGAGGGGATTTCCAGCTGCAGGACTCGATCCTGGCTTCTCACCCTTCTAGAGGGGAGCAAAAGACACAATATTTTTCAATAAAAACCCTTAAAAAACTGAAATTACAGTGATTAAAATACTTCTGTAGCTATAGCTAAATCCACACTCAGTCTGGGAGTAGGACCAGCTTTTAAATCGATAGGATGGGGCAGGTACCTTCCAATTTTAGTGTCAAAGAGGAAAGTTTACAAATAAGATTCTCAATTAGTAAACGGGTAAAAAATGGTGCTGTTTATAAATATCTGGGTTTCTTTTTTTTCTTTTAGATGTGGTAAATAAATGATCTGCTTTTCAGAAGTGTTGCTCCTGCCAGCTTGGCAGCTGAGAGCTGTGAAGTGCAAGACATTGAAAATTTAAAATAATTACGCTTCCTTGGCTACAAAAGAGATTTTCCACCCATTAATAACAAGAAAATTAATGTTGGGCCAGCAGTAAAACAGATTAAACTGTGTCCCCTTTGGGATGCCTGACTGCACCTTTAACAGACCTGAAATTGCTCTGATTATTTTAATGTTCTGTATTGAAACGTGACGGTGGCCTTGAGTTAATAGTTAAAGAGGGTGAAATTGGAACATCTCTGCACAAGTTTTTTCCCATTGATCAGAGAAAGTGGGCAGGAAAACACTTCTGTAGAGTAAATCAAGCTGTTATTACTTAATGACAGAATAATTCTTCAGTTTTTCTCTTAATTTTCTTCTGGTTTTCAACTTGAATTATTGCCTTGGAAGACAAATACATGGAAATCAAGGCAGCTTGATGAGTTGCAGTTATAAATGTTGTGTCCCTGTGTCCCATGTCACCAGAAGGAGGAATCCTTGATGATTGATTGCTTGATCAAGAATTGCATTTTGGGTTGGTTGTGAAGGAAGAGCTGTAGCCATGGATTATTTTAGGAGTTGCAAGAGTCATAGTGAGTTATTTATTCACAAAATAATACTTCATTTGGCTTCTCTTTCTTTTGACTTCTTGGGATTTTAAAAATATTTACATTAAATCTTTACGTGCTTGCGTTTATTTTGCGGTGAATTTTGCTAAAATCAGAATTTCATTATTTAGTTAAGGTTTCTTGAGACCCAGTTTTGTAACTTGCAGCACATGGTCCACTTGGGAGTAGCCAGGGCTTGAGCAGCTCTGATGTTTGGCTGTATTTTCACTTGCCTGGGAGAGGGGTTGAGTGGGTATAAATAAAGCTGCTGTTCCTGTTCCAGATGCCTCAGAAAGCCATGGGCCATATAAACTTTGTCACTTGAATGCAATTGCTGAGCCCAGGGAGCTCAGTGGAACAGGAATCCTGTCCCAGTGAGCCTGTGGAAGGTGGCAGTGCAAGGAGAAATCCACATGGACTGAACCAGGAGTGGCTCTAAGTCACTGTGGTTCCCCTGAGTGCTCTGAGCCTGTAATTTGGGAACCTCCAAAGCTCAGTACCAGCCTTCTGTGGGATCCAAGTTCACATTTCCAATCTGAAGTGTGAGAGGTTCATATTTTTAATCACTTTTTGGACAGGCAGTGAGTTGGTGCAGTGGCTGGACTGGTCTCTCCGTGGCTGGGCACGGAAATCTGAGGGTTGCATTCCTAAATCCAGTCCATCCATGGATCCACATTTCCTCCACACAGACGTGTGCCTGGTTCCCAGCACTTGTGCCCTTGGTGTTTTGAAAAGAAATCCAACACAGCTTGAAGGTGTCGAGTCCTTCAGTGAGTGCTGGCACAGTGACTCAGTTTGGGGAGGTGGAAAACCCTCTGAAAACTGTAGGGAAGCTCCTGGTGAAGCTCCAAGCCATGCAGACCTCCTTTATATGCACGCAATCAACAGCTCTGCAATTAGGGAGGTGTTATAAATAGGATGTGGTGGGGCTGCCCAGCTCTCTAATTTGCCCTGGGGCTGCCAGGAGCTCAGAACTCGGTGTCCCATCAGCAGCTCCAGTCCCAGCTCAGGCCAAGCCTGATCAGGCAGAGGGGAGGAAGCTCTCAGATAAACACGGCGCAGCCTCAGCTCCCCATCGCTCCCGGCTTCCGCTTCCAGGCCCTATAATTAGAAGTCCTTCTTTTCCTTGTATTCCCAGTTGACGCAAATGCTTTTTGTGGCTTGGCACCTCATTTAGGGCGTGGGCTTAGTTTATGGCCAGGCCAGAGTCTGGTTTAGTCTTCTGATACTGCATAAATAGCTCTTAACCCACAGTCTACATCTGTACTAGTTTTTCCTTTTATGCATATATTCCTCGTGTTTTTATTTCTGTCCTGAAAGAAGCTGATTGTTTCCCCAAACAGAATGCAGGAAAAGTAGGAAGCTGTAAATTAGGGCAGGTAAAACAAAGCTTTGCTAATTTTTTTTCCCCATCCAGGATATCTGTTCCTTTGAAACTGGATTTTAGTCATCTCTGCGGATTTAAAACAACCACACAGTAAAACAGTCATTAATTTAATCTGGCTGCACCCTCGTACTGTGGATAAGCAAATTCAGAATTTTTGCAATGAGATGTATACTAAATGAAGTCTGGTTTACACATAAATTTCCACTGGGTCCTGTGTATGCAAGACTTCCAATGGATTTCAGCTGTTATCTGTTAAACAGGGATTAATGCCAGTTGGAAAAATAAGCAGGAAATCCTCAAGAATTATTCACTTTTCATCTCTGATTATTCATCCATAAAGTCCCTCATAAGAGAAAACATTCAGACTGAATTTAGCACGGCTTTAACCTGTATTTCCGTCTAAACAACTTTTTGGGAAAATTGTCCCAAGGCCTCTTAAGAAGCTTGAGTTGAAGTTTCCTGCACTTGAAAGTGAAAGTGAGGTAGGACCAGGATTCTGGTTCTTGTTTTTCCGCTGGGATTAGGAATTCCTGCTGGGATGCTGCAGGGAGAAAGAGAGAGAAACAAAATGGCTGAGCTGTGATAATGGAAAACTGGGATTCTTCAGTGTGAAGTAATGAGAGCTGGAAAATCCCACCACAAACCCCAGTCCAGTGTTCTGAAACATGGGTGATTTATTGTTTGAATAACAGGGGCGAGGAAAAGATTTCAGAATGCTGTTTTATAAATACACGTTCTTTCCCATCTGTGGTGTTGTGCTTGGGACCTCCGTGTTGATACAAGTCCTGCCAGATTATATTTGTACTTCAAATGCAGATGTGGGTGTGAAAGGGCCTCCTTTAACTTACTGAAAAAGAGTCTCTAATACAAGTGAAGGACCAGTTTTCCCTGGGCTTTCATCTAATAAATGCATTTATTCCAAATGGGACAGGCAGCAGGAGTTCAGATTAGACACAAATTGCCAAATCAGATACCACTCATCTTTCTATTTTTAAGTCAATTCCTTTCCAGCCACAAATGTATTGTCTTTCACCTCTGCACTCCTTCAAGTTAGCAAAAACAGAGAAAAGAAACCCCAAACCAAACCCAGAAAACCCAAAGGCAAAGCACACACGGAACCAAGAGCTGGGAGCATCATCTGGAAGTGCTCAGAGCTGCAGGTAGACGGGTGAATGTCACGGCTGCGGCTGTCGGGATCCAGGGTGGCACCAAAGGAACAAACAGGGACCACCATGGGTTCTGGGGGCTCGTGTGCCACAGGTTTTGGCACAAAGTGAGCCCTGCTCTGCCTGAAGAGAGCATTGTAGGGCTGGGGAGAAGCCTGTGAGGAGCAAGGGGGGATGATCCCCTCCCTGTGCTGCCCGCAGACACCTGCGGCTCTCGCCAGCACTGGAAACCAGATCCCTCTGAGCCGAACACCCATGGATTGCATGGACAACAAGGATGGTGATCCTGTGTTTTCACTGGCTTGGGATCATTGCACAGCGTTTTGTCTCCAGTTCCAGACAGATTTTTGGAAGATTTAGGGGTTTTTTACCGTCTTGAGTGCACTGTGCTGTGTGCTGGGGTGCATAGGAAGAACGCTCTGCTGGGATCTCTGGGTGCGCTCAGCCCTGGGTCTGTGTTTATAAAAGACTTCTCAAGCCTTGGGGGAGGCAAAAACATCTGTTTGCAGAGCTTGTCTGCTCAGTATTGAGAAAAGTCTTATGGATCCATCTCCTCCAGCTTCTCCTTCTCCAAAGGTCCTTTCCATCGGGAATAAGAGAGAGCACAAAAGGACCCAAAGCACCTCCACGTCTATATAAAGCTGTCTAATGCATGAGGAGAGACAAACATGGGAATGGAGAAGATAAGTTCTTACTGGGTTGAATTAGATCTTTTGGAATATCCTCGCTCCAGTAACAGCAGCAGCCTCATTCCAACACACAAACCCCTCTTTGCTTCCAGCTTTCTCTGCTGGAAATGCTATATATTATTGAGGACCGCACACTTCACTAGAAGGGAAGTGTAGTTTGTGATGTTGCAGAACAGAATTAATGCAAATTGTGTGCATAATCCCACACGAAAGGCTTGGCTGCCTTGCACCGGAGCAACTTGAGCTGTATTTCCTATCAACACAGTCACTACAAATCAAGGAAATTGCCAGTTAAGCCAACATTAACATCCAGACCAACCTCAGCTCACATGCCTTACCGCCCAAACATAATACCCCAGTGCTCTCCCGGATTTCTCAGCTCCATAACAAACTCCCTTTCATTTCTAACACTCGGGGCCGGAGGAACAGCCGGGAACAGTAAAAGTGTGTCTGCTGGAGGGAATCTTGCTGAGCTCAGACGTGAGATGGTGCGTTTGTGCGAGCTGCAGGAAATGCCTGGGTGCAGCGTGGGTGGCCGGGCCCTGCCAGCCTCAGTGGTCAAGCTGAGGGGAAGCTTGGAGGCAGTTTTGTCTCCGAGAGCAATTTGGATTTTGTACCTTGCTGCTGGTGGGCCTCAGCGCCTTGGAACTTCGTGTTTGCCTTCACAGGATCCTTCTTTCAGAGGTTTTGGATGTGCCCTGTCGGTGCCACACAGGCTCTGAGGGTGTACCCTGGGTTTCAGGATGTTGGACCCACATGGCCAAGCCTTTGGCTTCTTTGGCCAAAGAAATTTTTCTTTCTGGCCTAAAGGACTAGGAAGAAAAGACAGAAATTTTTCTGTCTGGGCCTAAAGGACCCAATCTCTTGGATTCCAGGATTGCCACGGAGGGAGAACACTCAGATACCAAGCTGGTGATGAAATGGTGTCCCATAGCAAAGCTAATCACACTTAATTTTTACTCTGCTGCTTGGCACACTTTTTTCAGTTTAATATTAACATTTTCCAAGTGTTGTAAGGTAGGAAATCAGTGGTAACATGTGAGAGGTTTCAAATGTGTGCTGTTGGTATCTGGGACAGTAAAGGGAAAAGCAATTTTTGGTATCACCTGTAAATAAATGAAGGCAATGGACACTCATTTATGGCAGAAATAAGATAACAATTTATCCTCTGAATAAGTGTCATGGGGACTAAGTTTTCTTCCTGCAGGATAAAAGATTTCAGTTGTGCTTTATGTGGAGAAATGTTGCAACAGACGTGAGTGGAATTCCTGTTTTTTCTTTAATAGATGGGAATCTTGAAAATTATTTAGAATGTCACTATTAAACTGCTAAAATCACTTTACACTTGATGTTAACTAAATGTCAGAGGGTTACTTTGGGTGATAACCTATTAAATTTCATTAATAACAGAAAAAAACCTGTAGTTTGTTACTGTAATCCTAAGCTCTGCCATGATGCTGTATTTTCCTTGTATGTGCAAAAATACTTTTTTTTTTTTGTATAAACTTGTATAAATTTATGGCAAATTGACTTCAAGTATCTTTGTAAATGTTTAAAACTGGGTTGTGGGCTTAGACACTGTGGGATAAAAAAGTAAATAGCAAATGTAAGTTACTGTGGTTCTGCTGATCTAATTGAATCATTTCAGTACCTCCACCAGTGACCTGTTTTCAATGAACCTGGTACCTCATTTAGTGTTTAATTTGAAAGCTCTCAACTCTGCTTTTCACCAACAAATTAGAGAGATTCTTTCATTTATAGGGAAGATGCTTCTTCAGGATTGTTTTGTTATGGGCTGTTTTGGCTGGATTTTGATAATCTCTTCTTCCAAAAATTGTTATTGTGGAGACATCAATCTTTTTTAGACTGGCTCTTGCCCAGGGAAGAGCATTTTGGGGTTTTGCTATAACATCCATCACTTCAATGCTTCATATTGGCCACACAGTTCCCAGATTTACTTGGAATATTCAGATTTTTCAGATGTTTTTTATAGATTTGTGTTGTAATACTATCTTAATATATTAAGTCATGGTACTGTGATTATGATTTCAGTTGAAGTCCTGATTCATTTTTATGAGGTGAATCCCTTTCATTTCAATAATTTTCTGTGTATTCTTCTGTTTCCAAACCCCAAATGTAAGCCACACTCAGTGTTTTTTAGACAGACACTTTAAGCCTCTTCTTTTGCAACGATTAATCTTTTGTGTTTCTATTTTTTTCTTTTTTCCCCCAGGGATGTTGCTGGTCACCACTGACACATTAGGCCATGATTTCCATGTTTTCCAAATCCTGACACATCCTTGGTCATCGTCACAAAGTGCCGTCCATCACTTGTACACACTTCACAGGGGAGAGACCGAAGCCAAAGTAAGTGAAACTCTTTGCTGAAGAATAATCCCCAGACACCTTATACATTCTGTGTATGTTGGCACTTTAATGTTTGTTTCAGCACACAAAGAGCCTTTCTTGTGCTCCAGCCACAGAAGGGATAAGAGCAGAGCGTTTAACCTGGACAATAATAAATTCTTGCCCTTTGCAATGAGGTGCTGTCAGATTTATTCAGATCTGGCACTGCCTCCAAAGAGCCCCGATTATTGGCTGTGTTTGCACTTAACCTTTTCTCATGTAACATGTTCAACATTTGTCTCGTGCCCGTGAAGGAACTGTCAGCGTTTGCCTGGCTCTGGTGGTAAAAGCCACAGACAGACAATTAAAGAGTTGAAAGGAAGAGTTAATCAAAAGGCTGTGATTAACTTTTCTTAGCACAGTGGGGGAACCTGCAGAGACTCCCCAGTTTAACTTCCCTGTTGAAAAATCCCCCTCTCAGAGATGCAGGGCTGAGTTAGGATATTATCCAAGGGTGGGGAAGTCTGGAATTGTATTTTAAGCAATGCTCAGTGAAGTGATTTGCTGTGAGGTGGGGAACAGGGATCTGCTCTCACTGGCAGGGCTGTGGCAGCAGCGAGTTCTGCTTGAGTCCTTCACAGCAGAGCCTCACCTTTGGAGCACTGAGGAGCTGCTGAGGAACCTGCTTTAAATACAGGAATAAATAAAAATGTCACCACAGGGTAAGAAATGAGTGTTGCACTTGCTGATGCAATTACACACGGGCAGCACAGGCTTGTGGCAGCCTGGCAGATGTAAAGCACTGTGACAGGGACAGCCTGGGGCTCTGGGATTATCACCCTGGCACTGGGAGCTCGCCTGCTTCTGGTACCTGATCACAGTTCCTTCAAACCTTTTCTTTCCCTGGGAGTTGAGCAGTTTCTTTCAAGTTTCTCACCATACCTTTGTAACAAGTGGAATGTGAAAGACTTATTGAATGTAGCAGTGGTTGATCAATTTTTGGTCTGGATGAATTTGCATTTCTGGTAGTTTAAATACTCTAAAGCTTTCCTGCTACCATTCTAGAAAAGTGGAATTGCTGTTACAGGCAATGGTTTGCTATAAGAAGGAATAACCAGTCTGGAAAGTGAGAGGAAATTAGGAAAAACTGTTCATTTGGGATAATATATATAGTACTAACAAGTAATTTTTATAAATATTACAAAGAGCAGTGAGATCTGTGTGTATATACATACTCTGCCATCTGCTTGGGCACGTTCTATAATGTGTTTAATGTTTTAGAGTTATTTTTGTTCTCCCTTCATACAAAGACTCAATATTGAAACCCAAAGCACAGGACTTCAGTCATGAGGAACAAAGATGTTCTTCTGGTTTTTACAGCTGATAAATTTGTTTTCAAGGCACACATTGGAAACCAAACAGAACATGTTTTAGAGAAGGAACCCTTATTGATACATGTTTTTTTGGGATATAGTATTAGCATCTCTGTGAAAGCATTGCATTAAAATTCTCAGAATCAACATAGTAAAATTTTTTCCTAGTTTGCCACACAGTTTTCATTTGGGATGTGAACAGTATAGCTTTTGGAGTGGCATAAAATGGAGAAAATTCTAACCAGTCTGAGGTGTGTTGGTGGATTTCACAGCTCCCTGGATAATTAAACAATACTGCATTGGTACCTGAGATTCTCAACACACATAGTTTGAAATATTTCTATAATTTGAGGGATTGGTTTACTTTTTTCTTTTGGAATAACAGCACTTCTAGCTGTTCAATAAGAGGGGAGTTTGCTGGTGCTGCTCTTTTGTTTTGTGAATTTCATGTATGAGGAGCATTAGAGAATTTTGGAGACTGTTCAATGTAAAACTCTCAGTGCAGCCCACACTGGGAGCCTCTGTGCCTCCTGTCTGGTTAGAACAGTATTTATACATTTGCTACCAGACCTTTTTCCTTTTTTCTTTTTTTTTTTCCCCTGTTTTAAAACTAACTGTGAATCAAGGCCAATGGTCTTAAAGGTCACCTTCTGTACTGGAGCTATAAAAAGTTCTAATTTGTGTTGATGGACATGAGTGATTATCAGTGTCAGGATTTGTTTAGCTAGTACCCATTATAAATTGTTTAACCATCATCATTATGGCCATGTTATATGTGGGATTTTAATGTCCCTGCTGAAATCAGCTCTGCTTTTCTATGTGAGATTTTGGCTGACAGAGCTTCACCCCACTTTTCCCAAAATCTCCTTTTTGTGACTCAGATGAAGATGGGGTGGGATGGAAGGTGGACCTCTGCCTCAGAAGGGAACTGTGAAGACAATGACCATGGCAGAATGTGAAGTGCTCAGATAATTCACTGAGTCCCAAGGTCACAGTGTTCAAAGTCACTGTTCTGCAAACACAGACAGAAGTCCCTGTTTGGTTGTACCAGACTGAGATATTTTAGCCTTTGAGTGCCACTTGTGCTCTAGTTTTTGTATTTTCTTCCCTTAAGAGGACAAAAAGCAGCACAGAGTAACACCAGGAAGGTCCATTGCAAGGGCTGGTTGTATTTTACTGAGTCAGAGAGAGCTGAACCTCTCAGAGGACCTGTGCTTGCACAGTTCAGCTGTAAAGAGGAGAAATGTGCACGTGTATGTCCTGCACATTTTGGTTAAGGATACATTTTCTTGTCCTCCAACTCTTGCATTGTGAGGCAACACTTACTTCACTCATATTTTTACCCAAGAGCATTCTAGAAGGTTTTTAATGAAGGCATAGCATGTTCTGAACTGAGGAAGCTCATTTACTTGCAGATGAAAGTTAGCCTGTCACCTGATGATCCTTTCTCTTTGATCTGAAATTGTAAACAGCAAAAACAAAATCCCTGAAAACAGCATTATCTCAGCCTAGGACAAATAAACGGAACGATAGCATCAGCTGGCTGCTGGCCAGCTCCTCTGTAATCCTTTACTCTGTCAGACTTTTGTTATTCCCACTCCCAAACTGCAGCTAGGACTGACTTCAGTGGGAGAAGGTAAACAGGGAATGATAAAAACATTCCAGCCTGGCTGCACACTGATGTGATGCTTTTCCAGGGAATGCAGAGATGTTTCAGTGATGTGATTCCACAGACACTGCTCAAGGTTGTGTCACACCCTGTGCCCAGGTAGTGAAACATTGGAACAACTTCCAGATATTGGATGTGAATCTCCATGGCCACGAGGAATTCCTTCCTGTCTGTGACATGCTCATAGTTGGATATTGAAATAGACTCTGTAAGCTAGGAAGACTTTCTTATTTCTAGGAAAGAAGCTGGGAATGGGCTTGAAATAATCCAAGATTGGTTTGGGGAAGTTGGTCAGTGTCGGATGAGAGCTGACAAGAAGAAGCTGCTGCAGTCAGAAGTGGCTTGGCTGCCCTGGGGAGATGGAGCCCTGAGCAGTGGCATTTACCAGTTACTGGTACAGAGCTCAGCTCTGCTTAAAGGCCCCACGTGAATCTCTCACTGTGCCCACATTCTGCCCTTGCTTTTACACAACTGAAATCAGTGTTGAGGACATGGGGAGACACAGTTGGGTCTGTGTGGGTCTGATAAATCATATTGTGTAGACCATGATTTTATTATTTTTTCATTTATGTTTGTTGCTACATCATTTCCTTAATTTTCTCAGCCAAAAAAATTCACATACAGACCAGTTTTCTAATTTATTTTGACCCTTACCTCCTCGGGACTGCTGCTCTTTCTCATTGCTTAATGATACTGGTTTTTTCTTTCTGCCATCTCCCTGCACAGCATAATTCAATACTTGAGTCCTGTGCTTCAAATCAGGGTGTTTTTTCTCTGTGACACAGCACAGTGATCATGAACAGGTCACGTTCCTGTTGCAGCACTGCTGGTCCCACTCTCCACGTTTAATTAAATGCAGTAAAATGCACAAGAATATACAGATTGCACCTGGTATAACTCCACACGACTGACAGAGGGGTGCTAGGAAGGAAAAAAAGAGTGCTAGGAAGATCAAAATGTGGTTTATTTCTGATCATTATTACTCAAATCCAGGGTTCAGCATTGTGAGGTTGGCTTTCTGTTATGTGAATCACCTGGACACAGTCCTGTGCCAGGTGCTCTGGGCTGACCTTGTTCTGTGGCCCCTTCCAACACAACCCATCCTGTGATCTGTAATATCAGAAATTATTTTTTGAGCTGTACAGTATTGAAAGCTGATCCTCAGTGGAGCTGTTGACATGTGCCATGTCCTTGGAGGAGTCTCTGTATTAAATTACCTGACTGTGTCATTCAGGGCAGGCTCTGAGTGGTAGCTACATTCTGGAGGATTTTACGTCATAATGTTCAAAGCACCGGGAAATAGAGAAGTGGAAGTTATAAAGAAGCATAGAAGACTAATAGGAGGGAAACAGGAGAAGACAGGAAGCACACTGACCTTTTGGAGGAAGTCCAGAGGAGGCCACCAAAATGTTTGTAGGGCTGGAGCCCCTCTCATATAAGGAAAGGCTAAGAGAATTGGGATTGTTCAGCCTGGAAAAGAGGAGGCTTTGGAGTGGTGCATTTGTGGCCTTCCAGTACATGAAGGGAGCCTGCAAGAAAGCTGGAGAGTCTGGGACTGAAAAGAATTTGAAAACATCTTAGGGGTTCCCAAATTAAACAAAATCTCAGGTCTGTAACTCCCTTTACTGGTCCAGACAGAAGAGGATAGATAAAATTTTAAAATACAGACGTGAGTGTTAAATGTGACATTGACCTTGAGCTATAGAATAAACTTTTCATCGTGAGAGATTTGGTGTACTTTGTACTTTATTAACATATATCTGTAAACACTATGGGGTCTTGATTGATCTTTGGTATCTAAACATTACATCATAATTAACAACAAATCCAGAAATATATTATAAATACATGAAATAATAGTACATTAACCTAAAGAACAGCAATAAACTGCAACGCTTAGCATAAACTTGAAAACCACTAATGGGCCACTGTGCAGTTTGTTTATACTCTGAGCAGTCAAGAACTCAGCATAATGTACAGGAACGTGGTGGGGAACAGCACGGCCCAGGGCATAATTTATAGGGCTTTATTCATGGACACAGCTGATTTTTGAAGCTGTTTCTGAGACTGCCACGATGAGCATTGTCCTTTCAGCTTGGTCCATGCCATCTTCCAGTTCTTCTGGGGAGTCACGGGCTCCTTCGCGTTGTACAGATGGGTTTGTGCTGGTTTGCTGTGAGCGTGTTCAATTCATGCCCTTGGAATTGGAAATATTCTCTGAATCACCTCCTTGGAGTGCCTGTGGTTCTGCTGCTCCTCCTGTATCTGTGAAAGACAAACGAGGCCGTGTTGGAGACCAGTGAGCAGTAGGTGAATCACATGGAGCAGCAGCTTCCAAAATACTCTGTGCCACTGCTGAGCAGGGTTTCATAGCTCTGCTCCTGTAAATCTTAATTCATTGCACACTCTTCTGTCAATGCTTTTACCATGTTATTCCTGAGCATTAGAACCCTTCTGCCTTTGTGGTTTCAGCCGTGTTTTAGGCAGCCATGGCCACTGCAGCCAGTGTTTGTGAGTGCGTTTTTAAAGAGAGCATTTGGGATTATGGAGTTCCACACTTTCTTCCTGTAGATCAGGAATACTTTTTTTTTCTATGTAATGTTTACACTGAGAAAAAAAAACCAAAAAAACATCCTGTAGTGATTGTTTCCCAGTTTCTTGGCTGGGGTTGTCATTTGCCATGGCTGTTGTGTGTAGTTTTTGAAAGAACACAACCCCCAGGGTGCCAACTGGAAACTGAGTACTAAAGTAGAAACACACAGTTTTGTTGCATGCTACAGTGAGATGGAATTTTTTCTCTGTCATCTCATGGTTCTGTTGTAACTGAGAGTGGCAGTTTCTACACAGTTCATATGTTTGGTTTTGACCAGGAGAATTTGCCACTTTAACAGCAAGTACTGAAATTCTCTCGGTGCCATCGTTTTCCCTGACTCCACAGCCTTTGGGTTTTTTTTTTTTTTTTGGAGCCCTTATTAATCCCTGTGGGGTCTCTAATCCCTTCTAAGCAATCTGTTAAGGTGAAACACTTTGTAAGCAAACTCGGAGCTCCGAGTGCTGCACTGTAGGTGTTTCAGAGCTGAATCCTGGAAGTGCCAAAGCTGTCAGGTTTGGGAGCTCGCTGAGCTGCCTCCTTGGCAGCTCGTTTGGGGATGTCACCAGCCCTGAAAGGAGCAGGTGTGTAGCGCTGGTTTTAGTTGATCTCGGGAATGTTGGTGAGGCATTTTGTGTAGTGGCAGTCTGTCAATCAAATATCTTGTCACAAGTCACCAGACTTAAATCCTTTTTTTATCTCCGAGGCTTCAGGCTCTGTTGGAAACTTGCACTTCGATGAATACTTTGCTGCTTTTGTCTGGAATAGCTGGAGTGCATTTCTGGAATATTTGTCAAGATTTTATCAGTGTTTATTCCAATTTGAGTACCTAGTGCATTGTAAAACTGGCTTCAGTGAAATCTTAAAGAATTTTATTTTGTTTATGCTGTTTAATAATATAATGAAAACTAATCCTTCGTCTGTATGTTTGTTTGCTGTGGTAAATCCCACTTGTGCCCATGGTTCCTTTTAGTCAGCTTTTACCTTTAAAAACATTTTTGGAAGAATTGTTTCAGGACTTTTTTTCTCTATGATAAATCATTTTAACTTCAACTACTTGTTTTCTTGAGTTGTCTGCCAGGACGGGCTTGGAAACAAACTTTAATCTCTCTTTTAAAGCATTCCTTCAGGAACAAGAATTCGCTTTCCATCAAAGCGTTGTGTAAAGAACACTTGAAAGAGAATTAAATCCTTCTGGACTTCGTATCTGAGATCTATGCAAGGAGTAACTGTAGTGGAAAATGTTTAACTATATTGTTATATTTGCTTCAAAACTGACCATTTTAAGCTAAAATAAGACTTGTGCCAGTATTTTTCAAAATCAGGCCCAGTGGTGAGATCTCTCTCATTTCTTGTCATCCCTCCCTTTTCCCGTTTTTGGGCAATCTCTGAAGATTAAACAAGCAAATACAAAACATGTAATTGAAACAATTTCCCAGCTCTTTTTAGAACAAAATTCTGTTTGAAAACTACATCAAGATCTTGTGGCTTTCTGCAGCCCTTTGCAGCATGGTCTGTTGTCATAATCTCAGAATATTTTGAAAAGTTTGGAACTGTGAATTACAGTGTATATGCTGAATACTAAATTCATTGATAAATGCACCAAAATTCAATTTATTACCTAAATGTGAGGGCTTTTTTTCCCATTTCCAGTTCAGATTTGTGTTTGAGACACGACCCCTGTGTTGGAGGTGTGCACGTTGGTGGCTTCATTCCCCTGTCACCTCTTTTCCAGGTACAGGATATCTCCTTCAGCCACGACTGCCGCTGGGTGGTGGTCAGCACACTCCGAGGCACTTCCCATGTTTTCCCCATCAATCCCTACGGAGGCCAGCCCTGTGTCAGGACTCACATGTCCCCACGGGTGGTCAATCGCATGAGCCGCTTCCAGAAGAGCGCGGGGCTGGAGGAGATCGAGCAGGAGCTGACGTCGAAGCAGGGCGGACGCTGCAGCCCCGTGCCCGGCCTGTCCAGCAGCCCCTCTGGCTCACCTCTCCATGGTAAATCCACTCTCTTCCTTTCTTTCCATCATGAGGAGAACATGAATTTCATAAAATGTTGTAGGTATTGTGCAAAAGTATATTATGTATGCAGATACTGCAGGAATAAGCCAAGGTGGAAGCATTTTGGAAAGATCTAGTTTTGCAGCTTGCTTTAAGTAAATGATGCTGTCAGAGGTGTGTTAATAATTTCTACTCAAAACTGAAAGGTTGAGGGTCTTTAGGTTTCAAGTTTTGTTTCCATGTAGCATACAGTCAGTAAACTGGTCTGTATTCAAAGAATTTTCTTGCCTAAAATTCTCATTGCTCATTTGCCTTGATGATCACAAATCACATCTGGATATCTACAGTAAATACTGCTCGAGGAGAAATGTGGGAACAAGGCAGTGGGAAGCTGATGGCACAGATTTGTGTCTGCTTTTTGTGTGTGTGTGTGGGAACAACGTGACAAATAATGTGTAAAGGTAAAACAATCTGTAAAAATTGATCTGTCCATGCTGTTCCTGTGGTGGATGTGCCTTGGAGAAACTCGAAGGATGTGAAGGGGAGCTTCAAAAAATGTTCAAAAATTATCAATGTCACAGCTTTTCCAGTCTTGTCTTTTCTTTCAGCCTTCCTCTTTCATGAGGTCTGTGCTAGAAGCTGTTTTGTTTGCATTCAGGATTTGCTGCATCCTTATGCCTCCTTTCTGTTGAGAGTAAGTCACAAGTTCCATGGAAGTGAAAGTTTGAATAGCAGTTTGTTTGGGGTAGGCACCCTTTTCCAGTCTGAGAGTATTAAAAATGGCCAGGAACAGTCCCTCTTCCCTAATTATGAGCAGGATTAGGAGCTCTTGTGAAAGCCCAACTATGTGCTGGGCTTTCTGCTATAGAGAGAACCTTTGTGGGATTTCTGAATCAAAGGAACTGTTTTATGACTTGATGGTTATTGAGGGAACCAGACTTGTCTCAGAACAGCCCTCTCTATTTTTGCCTTTCTTTGGACTTCTCTGAACAAAGGTTTGTGCGTGGCTGTTCTGGAGCTATCCTCTTCTGCCTGGAGCCACTGGAAGGCACCCAAAACGTGCTCTGAACTTTCTTCCTCTTTGGAGACAGTTGTGTATCTACTATTTGTCTTTCTCTCATCTCTGTACAGCAGCTCAGCCTGAAACAGGCTGGGGAGTGCTCCAAAGGTTTGCTATGGCACATCCAACTGCTTGTAACTGTGAACATCATGGAGAGAAGAGGAAGGAACTGTCAATTTGTGTGGCTATCACCCAGCCAATTCTATTTTCTGTCAAGGGAAATTGCAGTAAGTTGTTGCCTTTACAATCCTCTGAGGTACATTTGAAGTTTTGAATAGATTTGACACTTTTTAAAAAGAAGAATCAGCAGTTTCAGGATGCTCAGTGGTGGAGGTAGGAGACAGGCGTGCATGGACGAGTCACAGAGAAAGGCAGCAGCTTTTAGGGGAGTGTCTCAAGAGTTCTGGGCCTTCAGTTTGCAGATGTCTGTCTTGAAAGATAATAAATCAGATTTCTTTCAAGATCTCTGTGCAGCCATCACTGCTTGAAAATTAGCTCTGTTTAAACAAACAGCTCCACTGGAAGTCTGCACATGGGTGCTGAGAATTAAGGCAGGAAGGTGACTTTGATTTCTGGAGGACTTCACACAGATTGTGCTCATCACTTCCGCAGTGCAGAAGTTGGACACGTGCTGTGATTGTGTGTTGGTTGCAAAACTTCATATGAACGTTTTCCATGAGAAATTTGTGGGGATTTGTAGAGGAGTTAGCACAGATGCCTTAAAAAAATTAGGAAAAAAAATAGTTGAGTTTGAAAGAGTCCATTTGGTAAAGAACTGTAATATTTTCAGTAATTTTATTGCTGCTTTTTCATTTCAGTAACCTTTCAGTTCCCCTGGCTGAAGGCAGGCAGGATATTGAACCCTATTCTAAGCTTTTTATAAAAAGCCATTTATCATCAACTTGTAAAAGACTCCTGAAGTTCGGAGCAACTTTCAGCAGAGGGATTGTGTGTGTGTGTGTGTGTGTGGCAGCAGGATTAGTCAGAGACCGATGATTATTTTAATTTGTGAGCTAAGATGTGTTTACTCAGATTGTAACAGCTCCTTACCATATTATAATGTTAAATTATTGTTGTTTGGAGGAGTCGAGGCAGTCTGGTGACAGAAGTGTAAACGAGTACTCGAAACAGAAAAGAGCAGTTCTGGGTTTAATTCTTTGCTTTACTTCTAACTTGCTCTGCAACCCTTGAATTTTATTCAGCTGATTTTGTCTGTCAGCTCTCTGCTGTGTGACAACAGTAAAAATCTGTGTTCCCCGCGTGTGGAATGACTTTAATTTTGCAGCTTTCTTCAAGAAGAATAACTGTTATGTTCCTTAATCACCCCTCTAAGTGCAGATGATTATGATGGAAATAAAGCTAGAGACCGTGTCCTGGAGAGAACCATTGCTCTGGGACAAGGTGTTGATTAAGTGACTGATTCAGAGGAGATTGTGGCAAACTGGAGGATTTTTCTGTGTGGAGTCACGTCATCACGATTTTCCTCTTACATCTTTTCCAGTTGTCAGTAAACCCTACATGAAAAAACTGCTTTTAATCTTTCTGCTGGTATTCCTTAGGCCAAAAGACTGCACTGGTTTATCTTCCCTTTTGCTTAGCAATTGTAACTTATTGATAGAAACTTGTGATTAGCTTTTGTTCTTGTAAATATTTTCAGAGCTCGGGCTCTGTCGTATTTTTCTCACTTGTTTTTTTCCTCCTAGTCTCAAAATGAAACTGTTTGCTGTGTATATAGTAGCAAGACAATCTATTTACATTGTGTTGGAGCACCCTAGGACTGTTTACCCACACAATGTCAGCCTTTGCTGGGGGTAGGGATGATTTCATTTCCAAATGAATCATTGTTTGGCTTTGTTCTTTCCAGCAGAATGAAGTAAACTGTTAAATAGAGGATGATAAAGAGATATTTCCTTTGCACCTTTTATAGCTGACAGAGATTTTGTTTGGGCTGTTCTGTCTCTTAATGCAGCGAGGTTGTATTTTTGTCATTCCCTTGGATTGCCAGAGTGTGTTGTCAGGAATATCTGAGTTATGTCGGGATCCTTTTATGGGCTTTTACTATTATAAGACTATTACTACATCGGTTAGTTGTTGGGGTGAACATTAGGGTAAAATATGGCCTTATGTGACCATTTCACTTGTATAAAATTGGGTTTATGGTCCTTACCTGTCTGACAGGTACGCTGTGAGGATTAAAGGGTGAATTAAAGCAGAGCAATGTCCTTGGTGTTGCAAACTTCTCCGTGTTCTCTTCAGGACACATGTGAATAGCAAGGAACATTTAGCTGTAAAAATGCAATGCTTTACTTGGACGGTTGAAAACTGCACATAGCTCCAATTATTTTAATCCTGCAAATTAAAATTTACAGAATGTTATTAATTCTTGCATGGTCAGTAAGTGAAATAAAGTCTGTGTAGCTCTGCTCACTCGGTTTTCTCTGTTGTTGGCTGCAGGAATTTCCAGCACCAGAACAAATAATAATCCAGTAAGTTAACATTGGATCTACAGCTACACATCCACACCTACTAAAAATATTCCATAATAATATGATACTCTCTGAATTTGCCTTGCATTTCATTGGGGATTGAAGTATTTATTTATTTGCCAAAAAACTGTTCATAGTACGCCGTGGTTCTGTTTCAGATTTAATACCGATGCTGAGAGGGAGTATATAAATTTAGAATTATTTAAAAATCATGTTGTTCTTGATACAGTGCATTCAGGCTTGTAATTTTCTCTTTATAAATATTTTAGTATGGCACGTTTTTCATTGCAAAATCTTTTCTAAGTTTAAAAACCAAATGGTTTTCTCTTGCTTTTCCTTCATTTGTCACAATCGCAACGTGATTAAAATCCAAGCGTAAAACTGGAAGTTTGATAAACATGCAGCCTGAGATGCTTTACATATTTTCACGTTACTTTTCACTATTTCCCAGAGTGAAACTCCTTTTACTAGAAGAATTCTTATGGGAAAGCAGAGTTGAAAGGACTGACATCATCAGCCCTTCCTGAAAAACAGATTGGTTTCCTTTAAGTAACACTCACTTAAGAAACCACCTATTTAGAGAGAGGCAGACAAAAATAGTTTCAAAGAAAATTAACTGTATAATAACTTAAAGCACTGGAGGGCAGTTCCTTCACGAAACGCTGTGAACACGAGCTGACAACGGTTCTCGGAAAAACTCTCTATTAAGTTTAATTTTTCTCTTTGTAGCGTCTCACAGTAGAAACAGTTTGCGCGGAAACAAGAGCGAGCTGCAGCATCGGCCCGCATTGTTTTATCGTGCTTTTAACATTCCTATTTGTGTCACTGTCGCGTTTCTCCACAGCGTCACACTCGTCTCTTTTTAAATTTAAGCATAATTTCAAATAATTTCAAATGATTCCTTTTGCGGCTCCGTTTCTTAGCGCAGATTTCGCCCCGGCCGCGCCGGCTCCCTCAGAGCTCCCGTCTCACCCGCCGCGGCCTGCAGGGGGCGCCCTCTCCCCGGCCATGGCGCCTCAGGCGGGGCCGGCCCTGAGGGGGGGACCTGGCGTGGTAGCGCCGTAACACGGATAAATGGTGGCGATGAGGATAAACCCCTCTCTTTTTCACTACACAGGCACTGAGCTGCTTGCATGGGCATCGTAAATATTTATTTATTTATTTACAAATATAAACCGTCCATATTCTCTGTGCTGGCCGAAGCATTGAGCGATTCTCTTCACAACTTCACTTGAAGTTTCTCTTCACGGTTTTAAGGCAGTTGAGAAAAAACCCCCAAAATTAATTTACCTGGTAGTGACTTTTAGAGACCATTCTGTGATTCTGTGATGATTCTTTCTTTCTTAATCAGTCCCGGTGGTGGCGATGGAAGGTCCCAGGTGTAGGGCTGGGAGAAGAGGTGGGAAGAGCTGGAATCACCAGTTTGGGAAGTGGCCAGCAGCTTACTGGGT